TGGTAGAGTGAGGTCTCACAAGATGCTTCCCATAGCTGGCTTTTGAATTGGGCATCTGACATTAAACCGCTAAAGATTTTCTGTTTCGTGGATCCAGCGTAGATGCACGTAACAAGACCTAAAGCTTAATGAGAGGCAGTCTGGTCTGCCAGAGTCACCTTTAACATCTTTTTTTCTCAAAGGTTTAACAAAGTAACTGTAACAGAAAGGCTTTCAACTTATTTTTAATTTGTCGAGAGCCTTAGGTTTGAAGAAGGCAGAGTTTTGCGCACATTTGCACACAGGAGTACGTAAAGACTTAAACCAATACTTTCAGCATTCATCACAGAGACAACTAGGAAAAAAAACTCTAGACCAAGAAATAATTATGTTCTCTCACCTGCAAATACAGTATTGCTACAGCTGGTATGACTGTGGCTTATATATCATCCTACCAAATCTATAGGCGTGTCTGGGAACTACCTCTAATGTTAGATTATATGATTAAAGGCTGATCTGCATAAAGAAGAGGCTGCAGGGAAACACTGGTGAGCAGGGGCATCCCAGTAACACCGGGCTGGGGGAGCAGCCTGGCCCTACTCCTCTGGGGCCATCGGTCAGCCCAAAGCTACTGGGTGAGGGACCTCTCAGGGCTGAGGGTGAAAGAGGCCTCGGGGGGTCACCTAACAGAGGACTCGATGTGGGACAGCAATTGCCACAGTCTGTCCTGGCTTCTTATTTATTTAATGGTGTTTCTGTCTGTGTCCCGGGGCAGAGAGGTCCGAGGGCCAGCAAGGGGAGAAGGGGCCCCACTTTCTCACGGCCTGCGCCATCACCAACAGCCACCAACCCAGTGTAGCTGGCAAGTAGCTTCGGTTTTGAGAACCAGATACTGGAAAAGCCACGAGAGTGGAGCAGACAGAGGAGACTGGGGGTGGGTCTGAGCCAAGTGCTGGGCTATGGGGCAGCTACTGGAGAGGCCATAGGTCTGGGCCAGGGACCTGCCTGTGTCTGCGTGAGGTAACTGGGAGACCAGGCCATGAGAGGGCACTTGCTGGTCTGACTGGGGGTCAGAGGCCGGCTGCACAGGGATTCACACAGTCGCGTGTGTGCGTGCACGGGGCCTGCACACTGGCAGCCGGGGGGGGGGGGGTGCACCTCTGGGGCTTACACAGCCCGCTGCCCGCCCCGGCGCACACCTGGGCACGGGTACAGGCCGGCCGGGCGCCCAACACCAGATAATAGAGGGATCCATATTACATACTTGCACCTGTGCCTATTATCCCACTAATGGGTTTTCATCCTGCTCAGCCAGAGAGGGAAGAAAGATCAGGTCCCTTTTACTGTTCATAGGGCTACGAGATTCAGCTACTCCGAACATACAGCACTTCCAAATAAGGACAATTTTTTAAGCAAGAGGCTTTATTTCTAAATACACAATCACTCGTGAAATTAGATTGCAAAGTTGGGAACAGCTCTGAAAGATTCAGCTTTCTTAAACTCCAAGATACACGAGTCATAACCGCCGCTTTGGATATTTCTACTTCATTGGTCTAGATGTAAATATTCCTTGGGAGAAATCTTAAAGGTTTATTGTATCAGTTAAAAGATGACTGCAATAATATACTTCAGATATTTCTGAAGCCAAATTCAAAACTGAGAGAACAACAAAAACTTAGAGAATGTCAGCACAGATGTTAGGAAAAAAAAATACAGTGACCTGGGAAATCTTTCTATGTATACTTATGCATTTGTTTGCTTTTTTAAACATATTTTTAATGCAATATTCACAATACAGTACAGAGGATAACATATACCACAGGTGTTGTCTTTTCACCTTAATCTTGGCTCAAATTAGGACACAGTAACAATGTATACTGCTAACTGTGACTGCCCTCCATTCTTAAGAAGGCATCCCAGTTTGGTGAGATGGCAGACACCAGGAACTATTAGGTTAACTCCAGCAAGCTGCCAGCAGAGCAAGAGTAACTATTATCACCCATAGCAGGCTCAAAAAACACTCTCAAGAAGTGAAATTAAGTAAAAGCAAATGGCTAAACTTCAAAGATAAGGCAACCAGATGAAAGAATTTTGTAAGTATTTCAAAATTTGAAAGCATTTAATATTTTGTTACTTTTCTCATGCTATAGGAAATGATTAGCAATTGTTTCTAAAACATCTTTTTACAAAAACTGTGTTTAACTGTCTGGTATATCTGAGGAAGTAACTCTATGTTGCAGTACTATCAGAACAGATAAATGTGCTTAGGCAACAAGGCAGTGAGCTCTGATGCCGCTATCAGTCCCTACAAAGACAAGTCATGAAGGCTCAGCCTGGAAAAGTGCCAGTTTTCACTTCGCCCGGACAAAAAGAGAACTCTGGCGCACCCTGCCCTCAAACACAGGTCACAAGAGAGCAACCTTGTTCAGCTTGGGGAATTGCATGCACCAGGGTTATAGACCTGGAGATACACAGTTTCCAAAGGGACAGTAGCCACTCCGGATCTGCCATGGAATTCCTTGAGACTGGAAACCTGGAAGAGGATAAACCCATCACATGCTGGTTTACCTTAGACTTTCTGCTGTATGCTCTTTACTCTCTGTGGATAAAACAAGCTGAATAACTGAGATAAACTGCTTGTTGATATAAGAAAAACTGCAAAAGCTTGCCACCAAGGTCTTGCACATCAGTAAGTTAGGAAAGAGGCATTAGGACTTGAACATGCAGCTAGCACCTGTATCATTGTCATCTGGACATTTCTGCATTGCCTCTGCAGCTAAAACACTCCAGCAGAGCCCAGCCATCCTACAAATGAAGTAAGAATGACTCCATGCCTCAAAGCATGGGAAAGATCTGCAAAAAGGGAAAAAGAAACAAACAAACAAACCAAACCTGAAATAAAACCAAAGAACCTTACAACCAGTTTCATAAGGATGACTCTGCTTTGGTTTCAGTGACAAGTTCACATTTAACTTCCTCATTCCTGTTCTCCGCACAGAGAACAGTCAGCTGCTTTATTTGCCTAACTTTGCACAGCCTTCCCCCGTGTGCAGTGGGCAGCTGAGTCCCCTGTAGTCTCTGACAACCATTTCTAGTGTAGACTGCAAAAGCAAAGCAGTGATCTTTAAGCAGATTCCATGTCTGCAAAGAAAAACAACAACAACAAAAAAAAACCCTAAACCCACAAAAACAAACTAACAACAAAATACCCCAAGGATTTATTTCTTCCTTCTTAGATCAGCAGTCTTGAAAATAATGAAAAAAATTACGAATCTATACAATTGAAAATTCTGAAAGAGTTCTGCTGGAAGAAAACAGAGTCTACTACAGGCATCACTCCAAGGCAGGGCTCCCCTGAAGTGCAGACCACTTCTGAGTTGGACCTGGTCTGCCTCTATTTGTTATGAAAATGCAGGACACCCTACGGAGAAGAGCCTGACTTGAATAGTTTTAGCTCTTGAAAGCTACATTAAAAGCAATGAACTTCTCAAAGTGAAATGGTTCAGTTACTAAAGTACTAACACTGAGATGCAGAGAGCATGGACTACTTAACATCCTTTATAATCATGTAATTTGTCTCTTTTCTACTAGGGTAATTAAAATCATGAAAAGCTTAAGAGAAGTTTTCACCATTTTAGGTTACAAACATAAATGCTTTAGTTAAGTACAAATTAGTCCCAACTTCTGAACAGAACTTTGTTTTTAAAGCATTCAAAGTAATATCCATACACACTTCACTAAGAAGTATTTCACAGGCACTTCGGGCCAGCTAGAACGCAGCTATACGTCAGGTACATTTTGTGTCAAGCGATGTTTTTGATGCATTTTTGTCATCGGAACAGCAAACACTCCCTGTGAGCATTACCACAACTAAAGCAAAGCGGTCTCTAAGATCTTTTCAAGATAAATTTTTACTTAAGATAACAAACGTAATCAAAATAAACGGGGAAGGCAAAATACGGATGACACACCAAACCTTACGGTGATGCAGAGAAAAGTTTATATTCCCAGCGCAGCAAGCCACCCGGGGGCTGTGCCGAGCCCCCCGTTAGCTGCAGGGCGACCAGAAAGGGGTGGCGGGGACCCGGCCGGCTGCGGAGGGCAACCCCAACTGCAGCTCCAGCAGCTTCTTCACACGCTGTAGGCGCTCATCCTAAATAGCTTGGGTGTCGCCCCCACTCCCGGCCGTGACTTTTGCGCGGGGACTCGGCTCTCACAGCTCCTGCCAGCAGCTCCCAACGGCTCCTGGCCGGCACCCCCCCGCCCCGCCCGCGCCGTGCCGAGGCCCCGCTCCCCGCACAGCCGCATCCCTCCCCCGCTACTCACGGCCTCCTCGGTTCTCCTGGCGCCCCGGGATCCCGCGGCCCCGGCGGCGGCCCCCGAGCGCGTCCAGATGCGGCGGCTGTTTAGCGAGGGGGACTCTAACGAGATGAACTCGGAGCTGGAATCCGTCAGGTCGAAGGGGGGGCGGCGGCGGCGGCTGTAGCGGGCGGCCGGGCCGGACGAGCGGGCTGCGCTGCTCCGCAGGACCACCATGGCGGAGGCGGGGGGGGTCGCCGACCCCGCGCCCGCTGCTGCTGCCGCCGCCGCCGCCACGCTCCGCGCGCCCCTCAGGCTCCACCCTCCCTCCGGATCCCTCCGCCTCGCTCGCCTGCCTTCCTTCCTGCCCGCCTTCCTTCCTGCTTTCCTTCCCGCCTTTCCTTCCGCCTGCCCCGAGGGCCGCCGCTCACGCTGCCCGCCCCCCGCCTTCGCTGAGGCCGGCGGCGCGCGCCTCGCCGCGCTCTCCCCGCCGCCGCTGGATTCTCGCCGGTAGCTAGTCCCGGCCCGGGCGGCGGAGGGACACTAGGCCGCACTGCGCTCTTTCGATATTTTTGGCGCGGAAAAGTTGAAGCAGGTTGTTTTGCCAGCGCGGGATTGGCCTGGCGGCGCGCGCCATGCCCACCCCTCCGCCGCTTCCCGCCGGCAGAGGGCGGGGCCACCGGGTCGGCCGGGGCCGCCGCTGCCGCTTAAAGGGGCCGCGCTCCGGTGGGCGGCTGAATAGCAGCTCCTCCGCGTCCCTCCCGAGGGGATCCCCGGCTGAGACGGGTCGCCCGTTCCGCGCCGCGCCGCCACCCCGGCGGTGCGGGTAAGCGCCCGAGGCGGACCGGGATGGCGGTCCCGCCGCCTGGCCGCGTTTCCTTGGGGAAGGCGTAGCCAGCGGCTCCCGCCGCGCCCGGCACTTCCTGCGCCGCCCCCCCCCCCCCCCCCCCCCGAGGCCCGCCATGGCGCGCCCGGCAGCCGCCTACCGGGCTGCGGTGCCGCCCCGCCCCGCCTGCGCCTACACCAGCTGCTACTGGTAAGGGCCGGGGCTTGGGGCGGGCGGGAGCCGGGAGGGGGGGGGTCCGTCCCCGCTCCCCCCGCGCCGTGAGGCCGTGGGGTAGCGGGAGCGGGGAGCGGTAACGGCGCGCTGTGCCAGCCCGTGCCTCGGCCGGAGGCTCGGCTCGGCCCGGTGTGGCGCTCGGAGAGCCCCCGGCCGCCTGTGGGGCTCCCACGGGGCCAGCCGGCATCGCCTCTCGGCTCCCCTCTGCTTACGGGAGGTCAGGGTGGGGTGGGGGGCGGGAGGGGGGAAGAAATAAAAAATAAATCCATTCCTGTGGTTTACAGCGAAGAAAATGTTTGGAAACTTTGCGATTACATCAGGAGTCAGGATCAACACCCTTTGGAAGAGTTTTATGCCGTTTTCATATCCAATGACAGGAGGATGGTGAGTCAATGGGATGTGATCTGACCACAGCTGTGGGACATTCAGGCCTTTACACCCCAGCCCGGTGTGGGTGAGACATGCTCCCAGGCATTTAGACCCCACCTTGGCACAGGTGAGATGTGCTCCCAGGTGTTGTAACCGCAGCCCCAGTATGTGTGAGATGTGCTCCCAGGCCTTTAGGCTGCAGCCCAGCCTGTAAGTGAGACATGGTCTAAAACCCTCTCATAGCTCGCTTTTGCTTAGAGGTGTGCAAACAGCACCATGTGAGACTTTTTAGTTATCCAGTGCTTTCAGGACCATGGGAATAGGTGTGATGTCCCTGTGAGCTGCGGGGGTAATTCTTCCCTGTAACCTGTCAGTTTAGGAAATGTCTATATTCCATGGTGGTCCAAGGTAGTATCTCCAACTTCATGCGCCTAAAAGTTAGGAACTAGAGAAAATTTTCTGACTGCGGCACAGATGTAAGCTGATGAAGTGCACAGATTAGCAAAGAACTACCAAATTAACCTGAAATTAATCTGTATGAATCTGAAAGGTTTTATTCACTTCATATTTATTCACTTACAACTTTCAGATTCCACTGTGGAAGCAGAGATCTGGACATGGAGATGAGCCTGTTGTCTGGGTAAGTCATTCTGTTCTCTTTCTCAGTAATTTTGAGAACGTGCTTCTGTAGTTGATAGCTGCAGGATCAGACATGGGCAGTGTCACCCATCCTCACTGTAACAAACTGTTATGTTTATGTTCCAGCTGAACATGAAGAAACACTTTTTTTCTGTGAGGGTGATGGAGCATTGGAGAAGGGTGCCCAGAGAGGTTGTGGAGTCTCCATCCTTGGAGACATTCAAAAGCTGTCTGGAGATGGACCCGGTCAGCTGGCTCTAGATGTCCCTGCTTGAGCAGGTGGCTGGACCAAATGATCTCCAGAGGTTCCTTCCAACCTCAACCATTCTATAGTTTTGTATTAATATTTATTATTCTTTTACAGCAGATTTATAAACAGCCTAAATCTGGTGCTCCTTTTTGCCATCCATAGTAAATTAACAGTAAGATGGTCAGTAAAATCTACCGGTGACAAACCTTAACACTGGTAAGAGTACGTAACAGATTTGTGAAAATTACTGTCTGGATATTGTTGAGGCTACTGGCTTTGTAGAATTTTAAGTAGATGTCTCTACTTATAAGAAGTAGATGGATGAAAATATCCATGTAGGCCTGACAGGATAGAAAAATATAAACAATATATGTATTCAGGTGTCAGCAATTAAACTGACCCATAAATGGTGGCTTTGGAGTGTCATTTGATCAATTAATGTAATTCGCTACTACAGAATTCCTTTCAAGTATGTATCATTATAGAATTCTTTCAGTTACATAGCATGGAAAAAAATATTTCTTGTGGCAATTTCTGTTTCTGAAATTCTGAAAAATAATCTGCAAACCTCTGAAGTTCTGTGATTTCCGAATCATTCATTCTCTTCAAAAATATTGGTGTATTTATAGTACAAAAAAATGTTTAGTTTAAAAAGAGATCCAAGTCTTATGAAGATGATCTAAAAAGGAGTAGGAGAGTCAGGAAAGGCCATGTCAGAATGTGGATTTCTCATAAAAATTAATGGATTGAAAGGTGTTTTAACTTTGATGTTCCAGTGGATCCTAGGATAGGTAATGCTTGTAGTTAAGTTTTCTTATACTCTGTAAGAGATTCTTCTAAATGTTGTTTCGTGCAGTTGTATATGTATGTTGGTTTGGCAAAATAGTTTGCCCAAGATCCTTTTAATTCCAATACCGTTGTGGTTTTGTATTATATTGAAAGTGTCAAAAGACAGTGCTTCAAACTCTGCTTATGAGTGGATTTAATGTAAGCTTTAGTAAGCTGCTAACAGCTACCTTCAATTTAGTTTTGGAAAACAGAAGCGTATGTACCCGGCACCTAACATAAGTAACTACGGTGTCTCCAAACCTCCACCACACCTATGTTTCTTACAAGTTAAGGAATAAAACTGCACCTCATAACCCGTGTGTCAAGACAAAATAGTTCCTTTGAAAAAGTGTGATATAGTACAGGTGTTTTTTTCCCCAGCTTCAAGAGCTGCTATAGGAATTCCTTTTACTTCTGTGGTCCTCTCAATCTGAGCCGTTTGCTGCTTTCTCAGTTGCGTGCGTTTTTTTCAGCTGCTTCAGGCAGCTAAACATTCTGCACTCAAATTCACAGTGTTACTGCAGCAGGTACAGCATCTCTTATTAGAAGAGATCACTAGATAATTTTAATGTTAAGCTATCATCGTATACTGTTGTGAGCTTTTATTTAGGATCAAGTCTAAGCCAAAAATGCTTACCCCACTCAACTTACGTGTTTTGTGGGACATGAAAGAGATTTGCTCCTTTTCTTAGGAGTAGTTACGCTTTTGTTTAGCTGTCCAGGTTTAAATCAAAAGAGGCTGGAAAGGAATGGGGAGAATACCAAGGTTTTTTGAAAGGCTCAGTAGGCGAGACAGTTGTTAGGAAATCTCTTTCCTGGTGCTGGAGATGTTACAGGCTTAATACCTGAAGGGCAGAAAGCAGGATTTAAAGAAAGGATCTGTAGTTTCTGCATTTAGGAAGCATTTTTTTTCACTCCAGTTGCCAGTTTCTCATTAACAGCTGTTTAACTAATGGCAGTTATCCTTCCTCCCAGGACTACCATGTTATTCTACTTCATGTTTCCAGTGGGGAGCAGAACTTCATTTATGATCTTGACACAGTGTTGCCGTTTCCGTGTCCTTTTGATGTGTACAGTGTGGAGGCCTTCAGGTTGGATGACAGCCTTCATCCAGAATTTCACAGGTGACAACATAAAAGATAAAGACCATGAATGTCATTTCATGAAGTCACAGCTGAAGTTTTCTTTGTGGATGCATAGTGACAGAAGATTTTTGCTAACCTCCAGTAAAATAAATGCACTGTGTTATTTTTCTAAAGCTCTTTACCTTAGTCATAAAAAGCCCTTCTCTTTCCTACTGTAGTTTCTTGTTAACTGCTTGGCACTATATTGTTGATTTATGTATTTAATTAAATTAGTGCTCCTTGATGGGAGGAAGGGGCTCTTGTTCTAAGTGACTAATGCAGTAATGTATACATGCATCTTTTGATACAATTTTGCATTATTATTTAGGAAAATCAGAATGATTCGAGCAGATTTGTACTTGAAGACATTTGCTTCAGACAGATCTCATATGAAAGATGCAAATGGGAAATGGCAGAAACCTCCTCCTTCATACCCTTGCATTGAAACTGCAGGTAAACTGCCAGAGCTCCTTCTTCCTTCTTACAGTGTTGAATGACATAGTCCAAGATGCACACGAGAATTAAATACACTTCCATAGCATGTGTCCAGAAGCACATCCAGCTAGTTTATTTCATATGGAAAAAAAAGCGCTATGAAGCATTTGGCACTTCCTTTTCTGAACATGTAAAGTCTGTCATGCCTCCTGGCAGTTACCATTATCAAACATTAATTCCCGATCTTCATAAACTGAGCAGAGAACGAGAGGTAAGACTGTTCTCTCATTGCAGCAGGGAACTGAGGTAAAGAGGCCAAATAATTTCATTAGGATCACAAGGTGAATTTTTAACACACATTATAGCACACTTTAGCTGGCAGGTCCCATCCTGCCAGAGGAGGTTATTTTGATGGAAGTTTTCAGGCACTGCTCAGCATGCTGGGTTTGCCTGCATGAGATGTTTGAGGTTTTCCTACCAGGTGAATGGACCTGAGGACACTTTAAGGCAAACTGGCAAGTCAGCAAATTTTTTCCCCAAGCCTTAAGCCTCTTTAAGTGATTGTCTAGATAATAGCCTCTGGGCCAAGCAGAGAAGTAAAGACTTGCCATCTCTTCTTTTCTGTAGAGCTGCTTAAGCCATTCTTATCACACAGCATTTCAGCTTATTCTAATCATGTGCTTGGCAAACTGGCTAACGTTTGCCGTGTGTTTGTTTGTTCTCTCATTTTCTTCCCAGATGGAGAAAAGTGTGTTGAAATTTTGCTTTGAAAGAGTTTTCATGTTATTACTCTGCATGTTTGGTTTTGTTTCTTTTTTAATAATGTAGTGCTGCTATGTATTTATGTTAGAAGGCAGGGTCAAAGAAACATGTTTTGGTTTAGGTCCAAGTTTATTGTGGTTTTAAGTTGGTGGGAAGCTAATCTTTGCTTTGGCTTCCAAGGAAGCTTGATGTTTCACAAGAATATAAATGAATTATGAAAATGGGCAGGAGCAGTCTTTATTGTGAAGTTTTAGGTGTTTTCTAGACAATCCAGGTTATGAAGCACCTTAAATTCTGTATCTTGGTCCTTATCTCCAGTACAGTTTTATACAAAGGTAGTGTAGTGAGTGGAGAATGCCCAAACTGCAATTCACAGTTCACTGTTAGCTGGAGGCTCTTAGGTGCTGAGGACATTTTGCCTGTGGTAACCTTCTTGTTGGGACAGTTGAGAGGTAATGAAAGTGTGAAGAATATAGATCAGGCCAGACCAGGAAGGTGAAAAAAATTCTACTCAGATCAGAAGACTAGAAAACATTACTTGGGGCTAGTAAGTTACAGAATGATGCAGCTGCCAATGTGTACATGTATCTCCAGCTGTAGTGAATGACTCCATAGCTGCAAACCCTGTAACTCCCCTTATCTGTCTTGCTTGGTTGAGCTTTACCTGATGAGCAGCAGCCACATGATCTCAGCCAACCTCCAGATTGCCTCTGTGATGTTGGTAGATAGTGAAAGATACATAGATCTTTATTCCTCTTTATTTCTTTGCTCTGTACCTTGTTGTGCTGAAAGAAACATCCATAGGTCATCCAGTCCAACACCTGCTCAAAACAGGGGTTCCTTAGCACTCTGTCCAGTCTCGTCCTGAACATCTCCAGGGATGGGGATTCCACCATATTTCTGGGCAATCTGTTCCAATATTTAATAACTTTCATGGTAAAAAAAAAAAATAAATTCATAATACATATTCAGAATTTCACATGTTCCAACTTGCCTTTTTTGCTTCTTGTCCTGTCTCCAGGCTCCTCCAAGAAAGCTGTGGCTCTATCTTTGTGTCCTCTGATCAGGTAGATGTGTAGATATCAGTAAGGTTTCCCTTTCACCTTCTCTGTTTAAGGCTAAACAGGCCCAGTTCTCTCAGCCTCTCCTTGAATATCACATTCTCCCTCCCCAAACAACTTGATGTTCCTATTCTGGGCTGCTTGTTGCAGTATGTCAGTGTTTGTTTGGTTTGGTGTGTGGTTTGTGTTTTGGTTTTGTGGGGTTTTTTTTGTGTTTTTTTTTTTGTTTGTTTGTTTGTTTGTTTGTTTGTTTTTTTTTTTGTTTTTTTTTTTGTACTGAGGAGCTTCAAACTGGATACAGTATTCCAGCTCTGTGCTGATGCACTCTGGTCTCCTGGTCAGTTGGCTGAATGTTGCAGATGAGAGAAACTGGTTACCCTGCACCTGCTGAAGGTGGAAGGTCGTTCACTAGGTAGCTTCAAGATCTGAGTGAGAACAGGAATAGGTTGTATCAGATCTAGGATGCCTAGTTCAAGTTGTCTTTCATTCAGTACTAGTTTCTCCAGTTTCTTTTTCTGTCTTCCCTGTAGTCACTTGAGACACCTCAACAATGTGTGCTTTGGTGTGCACAGTGCTGTAAGTCAGTGAGGAGTCTGGGTTTAACTGTTGTGGAACAAGTGTCTGCTTTGAATTTTAGCTGAATCCGAATTCTGTGCTTCACTGATGCGGTTCTGTAGATGAGCGTGTGTCCTGCAGGCCAGCATACAGGTTCAGACAGCATTGCTGTCAACAAGTGGACCTTGTAATTCTCTTCCTTGAGAGACTGGTAAAGTAATGTCTCAGCACAGTTTTATCAGGCATAAAAACGCCTTATTTTAAACTTAATGGATAACTGGGTGGCAGACCTTTTCTTATCATAAGAGAGCCTGGGGTATTAATGTTCACATCCATGCCGAATTCCATTGCAGATAACTGTTTTCTCCCTGCCATTTCACTTAGAGTACTCTGCTTTCTGTATTAATTTATGTTTGCATAAGATTAAATTGCTTACATATTTAATGTTAGAGGTGACTGCAATTTAATGGCTGACAGAATTGACCTCATATTGTTCTAGTATCCAATTGTGAGACCTATTTAGATCACAGCATTGTTATTATTTTGCTGTCATTTAGAGCAGACAAATTCTTAAGCTCTTGAGAAGATGATTACAAAAGCATATAAGACTTTTATATTAGTTCTGTTTGCTGTATGTTGTCTTCGACGTTAAACAAATGTTTGAAGACTGAAAAAATACCATAAAAATGTATCAGTCTTTTTTTTTTAATGCATCATGCTGTTAAAGAAAGGTGCCGATGATCTCTTGGTATATAAATATAATCAGCACTTCGATACTGTTGTGTTGATACAATTTGCTCTGTGTTAAAGCATATTAGTTACATTTATGTACACAGCTTTCCTTATCCCACTTGGTTTTAAAGCTTTTAGTAAACTTAAAAAGACAAGAATGCTTCCCCTTGATACTAAAATATTGCCTCTTCCAGAGCAGAGCAGCTGTTAAGCCTGAATATGGTGCTTTGGAAAAGGAAATTCTGTAGTGTCTAATTCAGATGTGAGCTAAATAAGACCATTTGTAGGATATTACTCAGTGTGGAGCTGGGATAGGATACTGGGACCAGTGATCCTTTTTTGGGAAGTGTACCAGGTAATGTTTAATGACCATGACATTCCTTTTAGAATCGAATCGAGGAATCTATCAGTTACCAATTAAGCATTTTTTTTTTTTCCCCCACAACTAACTCAAAAGGAGTAATTCTTAAACTATATTCGTGCTGCTCATGGGGTTGCAAAATAAACCTCCTAAAATAAGCTTGTCCTGAGTCATAAATTCCAGCCCATGCTTAAAAAAATTGAAGCTGGAACTAGGTGATTTTTTTTTTTTTTTTTTTAAAGAGTCTCAGCATTATTTTAAAAAAAAACCCAAAACTCCAAACACCCTCAAACTCTTCATTATCTCATCAGAACTCACATGTTAAGCATTAGGCTTTTGCAACTGGCTCTGCTCTAGCCATTTCCCGGAGTTAGGCTTCTGTGTTTCTTATTGGCATTGCTCTGGCCTCTGTTCTGCTCTGTTGCTGTGCATGCCAGGAGAAGCTGGCTAACCTAACTGGGTGCATGGTGCTTTCTCCCCCAGCCCTATCCTCATAGCAGCTCTGCTGGAATAAGCATACCTGAGCTGCAGCAGATTCCCCTGGTCCCACCTGGTTGCCAGTGGCTTCCTGTTGAAAGAAAATAGGGGTGAGTCTGGTATTTTGTTCAAATAATAAAAATTAAGAAGGTACAATTTGGGACACAGATTCATCATTCTAGCGCTGGCAAGCCTAGCCTGGGGTTTTCTTTTAAGTCTTCTCTCCACAAATTGAGGTCTGATTCTACTTGACTTACGAGTCCTGATGAGATCAGCCCTCCTTACTGCAAGCCTGTGTAAAATACAGCTTGAACAGTGTATTTCAAAATTACTCAGAACAGATGGTCTTACAGCTTATATACCACTATGAGCATCAGCTCTAACACTGAAAAGCATTGATTTGAATTTCAGTTCTCCCTAGGTGTTCGGTAGCACACTGGCAGGATTGATTTGTAAAGGCTTATTGTTCTTTTTATTATTATTTAAAATCCCTGGTAGTTGTAAATTACAAGGTTTTACTTGTTCTTTTTTTTTTTTTTTTAATTTTGTTTTGAAGAGCATGAGAAGAACAGCTGAGAAGTTCTGGGGGCACTGTGTATGACACATCTGCATAACAGGAGAGCTACTAGACAGAGGCCAGGCAGATATCTGCAGTATTTATCTCCTGAGGTGGTGGTAGGATCACAGTGAAAGCAAAAATTAAGCACTGATATGGATATAAGTAGCTCATATGCACTTCATGGGAACCTTCTGTTTGTCTCACTTGAGAATAAAACTCCAGTATCAAGTTAGGTCCTTACTTCATGAACTTTTGTGGAAGTAAAGAATCAAGTCTGGATAGAGCCAATAAAAGTACATCTAAGGACAGAAGTATTTAAATTCTGTGAGTGGCTTATTGAAATTACACCGCTTTCTGTGAAAGATAATTTAAGGTGACCAGCTTTGTTTTACACCGAGATGGACCAGGATGGTTTGCGCAGTCAGTGCTGTCTGGGCTGTGGGGACAGCACCCTCCAGCCCAGTGTGGTGATAGCCTTGTTGACTCTCCTGCTAAAACACTTCTCTCCCTCCTCAGGCAAGGGAGGGGGATCTGAAGAGAACTGTAAAGACCTACACAAGTCTTTGAAGAGTCCAACTTTCTAAGTATTTTAGGTGCTCACAAGGTTAGGTAGCAGCAGAGCTGATCTTGGAGGCTTTGATTCAGACTTGCTCACCTCCAGCAGCCCTTTGGCAGCTGTCATTATGCAGAGTTAGTCCAGGGTCTTCGAGCCAAGCTGAGCCTTGGCTGAAACATTTCTTTCTAACTACCGTTGGCAGAAACAAGTATCGTGGCTAACAATGACATCTGATGGTGCATGACCTTTTATTTTGTCCCCATTCAGGGCAAAAGTGTCAGACTTGATTAAAAAAAGAAAATTTTTTAAGTATCCCAGAATGCACCAACTAGTTCTCATTGATAGTGTGTTCGTGTAACGAAGTGGGTTTGGTCAAAGAGGAAGATTAGCTCTGAGCATGCACAAATGCGAGCTAGTGTAATAGCCACAGCACATGAGGAGGATTGCAAGTATAATGTAAATCTTCAAAAAAAAAAAAAAAATTCTGCTGCTCTTGACCTTGTATGAATGTTATATGAATCATTCTCCTCCTTGCTTTTGTGGAGAAACCCTCCTGGTTTGTCAACTGTAACATCTAGATATCTCTCTTGTAAATTCTGCTGCTTGTTACTCTTCATCTGATTTAGGAAAAGGGCTTTTTGGTGTTCTTGTGCATTTTTGCAGAACTGTTTCCTAAAGCTGCAGGGTCTAACATAACATGCATGGCATTTAGATACACCACATGAGTAAGGAGAGTGGCATAGACAGACTATTGCCTCCTGAATTGAATAAAACAGGAGAGTTCTCGCACTGTTTTTTCCTATGGATAGCTCTCATACTGCTTCAGTGCCATCTACTGACTGGTTCATAGACCATCCTCTTTTCACAGGAATATTCCTGTTTGCTTTGTTAAAACAATATTTCATTTCATTAAACTTCTTTGATGGACTGTGTTATGATCTGCCACGATCCTTCTGAATTTAAGAGTATTTCACTTCCTACAGACATTGTGACAGCAACTTCCAAGTTGCTAACAACAGCAGCTGTGTTTTTAACTCTACTGGAACAATCCCCTTTGGGCTTCTTTGCCATTCATAGAACAGTTCTAGGAAATTATTATTCCGCTATGCTCAGTGCACATAAAGCAGGGGATTATTTATCTTTCAAATCTTAAACTATATGAAGAATCACATTAATTTTAAAATAAAAGCATCAGGGAGGAAAAGACAAGTTGAGAATTTGAAAACAGGCTTACCAGACTGCCAGCAAGCAAGAGCTGTTACCCACTACTAATTGTTCTTGAGCTACTACAACAAATTGCTGAGCTTGTGCTATTTTAAATCCCTGCGTAGTCAGGCAGAAATTGGCCCTGTTCTGCTGGACTCATTTCAGCAGTAGGAAGGTGCTTGGCTGAATGTAAGGATTTTCAAAGTTCAGAGCCCAAACAGGTTAACAAGAAAAGGGTTAGGGGCTAGACCTCAGAAGTGGTGAGTGCTGGGGTTAGGCAAATCACAAAGCTGTGCCATAGTGTAGATGTGCAAATAGAGGGCTTCAGGGGCTGGGTTGCGGCTGGGACTCCTGGGTCTGGGATTCCGGAACATTGTCTTCCCTTCCTCACTTATGCTGTCCATAATGGTGAGCCTAATTACACAAACTTTTTGCAGCTGAAGCAAATTCCATCCTATGGATTTCCTAATCCATTCATTAGAGCCTACTCTTGTTTGGTTCTTAATCCTTAAATGTGCACATGAATCATCCATGTTAAAATAAATACTTAAATATAGCAGGAAAGCTATAACAGTAAATCCAATGGCTCTCCCACTCTGTTCTTTAAACTCATTCTCTTCCAGTTTTCTTTTAACGGGCATTTTAAAAGATTATTTGCGCAGATTGTCAGTGAGAACATAAAACAACAAGCCCACGGATGTTTGTAGTCAGAGCTGAATAGGCTGAGGAATGGGAAACCTCTGATCAGCATGGTTTTGAGTCAGAAAAGCTTGTACCAGACCAGCTCCAGAAAAAGGATGTGTAAGGCACCTAAACGCAAAACTGCACACCAGCACTTTGCACTGAGCTCCCTGGGATCCATGAACAGGACAGAATGGTTCCTACCTCTCCTGCGGGGGTCAGAGCGGATCAGACTCCTGGCAATGAGCAGTCATGCATACTTTTCTGTGAAACTATGGCAGTTAACCTTTTCCCCTCTCCAACTTCATTCCGTGTTTCAGGGCCAGAGAGGGAGCAAATACTGTAGCCTGGGGAGTAACAAATTGTAGGTTTGCCAAGGGACTTACTGCTTCTGAGAGACACCAAGCAACTTGCAATTCTGACTGGTGCTCTGATCCACTTCCTCTGTAGCCAGTGTGAAAGCTGACTCTGTTGACTTTGGTTCAGAACTTAATGGGGGAAGAGTATCTCCCCTGCTTTTGAGTAAGCAGATTTGCGTGACTGTAGGGAGACTACAAGCACCAGTTATATCGCAGTTCCCTGGGTTGGTTGTTACTTGCACTCCAATTCTCTGACACTACTCGACCCTTCTAGACTGCTGTTGCAGCAAAAAAAAAATCTTACTCTTTCTTACTCACTAGTCCCTAATGAGTAAGGGTGCTTACTGATTTGGTAATGTGATTATTGCCATGGGCAGAGAGAGGGATCGGGGGCGAAAGCAACATCTCAGAGACTGGAAATAGATATTTTCATAGCACTGTACAATTTGCAGAATCTTCCTGGACTGCTGCTCTGCAAGTGGGCTATGAACTCTGCTATTTTGAACTGAACTATCAAAGAGGGTTTGGGGGCATTTTCATGATAGATGTATACCTGTGCTACAGAAGCTGCATCGGGAACTTAAATATTTCCATTTTATGGTCCTATTTTAGACTCCAAGATGAACTTGGATGATTTCATCAGTATGAATCCCAAAGTGGGATGGGGTTCAGTGTTCCCACTTCCAGACTTTGTGCATCAATTTGGCAAACAGACTGATTACAGCTATTCCTTGGAAGCACAGTGAAGTGAACAAAGAAGTTCTCCATGCTTCTGTTTTGAGTGGGTGCGTGTTATGCTGCTCTTACACTGTATTTATGGTTTACATTTCTTTACATGGAATAAGTATTTGGGCAAATAGAATACCAAATCAGAAATACCATGAACTAAATAAAAACTTTTATTTTGAATATGTAAGAATGAACTTGGGTTTTAGTATGTCAAATCAAAGGGAGAGTTCCCACCATAAGCATATTACTTTTCCATCTACTGTGCCCAAATTGAAAAGAACATTTGCATGCTGTATGAAAAGCTTTTGGAAAAATACATGCATAAAATACTGAACAGTGTAGCTCAAATTGTTAAATGTCGCTACATTTTAGAAGTGAGTATATTTTCTTTATGTTATAATTTCTATCACTTACATAAACAGACAGTGTGTCTCAGTTTAGTCACTAACTTTATCAGTTAGGCTTATTTAGCAGAAGCCTGAAAGCCAGACCCACAAAGGAAACATAGATTTAGCAGTACAATCTTTACCTACCAAGCACTATGTAATACCAGGTAGGTAGTTTTCTGTGCTGTACAAGGGGAGAATTAAATGCTTACCGTTTCAGTTAAACTGTTCCAGTGCTGATGGTTGCTGGAAGATGCATGTGCTTTTCCTTCTTACACTGGCTGTGCATTCTCACCTGCCCTTGTGTGTTTGCACTTGGGTTTTGTCTGACCCTATAGTAATCCAGGGTAGGGAGCTAAATGACAGAAAGAAGTAAAGTTTTGGTTTTTGTTTTGTTTTGCCTCTTAGCTCCTTGAACTGGCTTACCATGAGGTCAGACAGCTGCTCTTGCTGGTTTAAGGAAATCAGCAGGAACATATGGTTGGGGGAAGGGAATGAGAAAGCCTCCCCCATACAGGGTCATTTGCTGCTGAATTTCCTTAGAGGTGATACCCAGCTGCATCCTTGCAGGAGAACCTAGGAAAGCCATCACGTTGATGTGGGATTTGGAGCAGTCTCTTGCGTTTTAGAAGAGTGCCCTAAATATGGGATTACAGAAATAGGCTAAAATGGGGTATTTAATTCTCTGGTTTTAGACCTGGTCTACTTTATATACTTGCATATCATACAATGACAGACTGGTAGAATAATTCAGGTTAGAAGGGTCAGGCGGTCTCTAGTCCAATCTCCTGTTCAAATCAGGTCAGACTAGGCTGCTCAGGGCTTTATCCATTCAAGCCTTGCAAACCTACTGGGATTGAGACTACAGTAAACATTTGTGATGAACTTCAGTCTTGGTGAGGAAAAGCATAGTAGCTGTGTTAAGTATTAAGGGATCACTTTATTTGTAATTACGAAAAAATAAAAAAACTTCAAAGATGTTTACATGTATATTACTGTTATATAGGTGTATTATTATCCACATATTCTATTACTGTATCTCCCATCAGTTTCAGAGAATTTACTCAGTATGTTAACAGCAGAGGCAGACCATTGAACAACTGTAGGATTGATTCACTTCATCCAAACACCTCTTTTTCTGTGTCATAAGGGCTGGTTGAATATAGAAACTTATACTTTCTGTTGCCAGATGCAGCACAGCTGGTTGGCTATGCAGATAGGCTGCTACCACACAGATTCCTTGGGTGCCAGCACGGACTACGGATAGGTAGGGAGCCAGTTGTTGGGGCAGTCATCTGCAGAGTGGAACAGTTGATCTGTAGCTTCTTTCTCTGAACCAACTTAAATAGAAGAGATAGAGATGATGGGACTTGGGATTCCTGACACACAGGTGCTCAGAACTCTCCTGAGAGGGGGCAGCTCTGAGGTTAACCAGATGCACCTCCATAAAAGGTCTGATGGTGCATGAAATGACAGCTCTTTCTGCATGATGCTTGATGGGGCAGGTGTGCTTTGAATGAGTTAAGATGTTGTTACTTACTGGTTTTGAGTGATGTCAAGATTGGTTGTCTGTGTGCACAGCAGCAGAAATTTGCCTGCTCAGCTCTGTATAGAGGCTAACCCACTGCCCAGGGCATTGCACACACTGCCCAGGTTAGACAATAGCAGAACTGAGAATTTAAAGATCCGTGTTTTAGTTGAACAGGTTATGTTAAGCACTTTTTATCCTTCAAGTGACTGACTCATATACACAGAGTTCCTGTACATTCCTCAACAGACCCTTTAAGTTGTTGCAGAACGTTAGGTTCTCATCTCTCTCTACTTGAGTATGTCATTTGATTTAAATACTGAGCTGCCATCCTCAGCTAGTTTCTGGTGCCTGAAATCCATGACACACTCCCTTTAGTGAGGCTTAGACACAAGAATCTGCCTGATTTAATCTAGTTTCAGGATCAAGGCTGTTAAGGAGGAGAACAGTCACAACCATTATTCAGAACATGCAAGTTTTAAAAAAATAATCAATGTGAAGAGACAGTCCTTTTTCTCTCTAATCATTCTGAACAGATGCTTAATTTTACATGTAGCAGGCTGGGTCTGTGTGATGATAGCTTTTCTAAAATTAACGATCTTTTTGTAGCTCTTGTAAAAAGTTGTCATTCCAAAGGGATAGGTAAAAGCCAGAGGATTATTTAATTCAGTGCTGAGGATGTTGATGCTGTGCTGTCTCTGTAGCCCTTCAAGCCTGGTGGCATTTCATCACCATTTCAGGTGTACTGCCAGAATTCAGGAATACACCAAATGCTCATTTAGGGTTCCAAATACAAACAGGAACTAGTTGCTTCACCATAATTAGCAGAGACCAGCCCTTTTAATCTTCCCCGTGCCTAGGTGATGTCCTGATATGTCCAGCACAAAGATGTGCTGCTTATTCACTTTCAGTACAATTATTTCTTAGCGCAGCTTAGCTTTTCATTCCCTTTTAAACTTCTTTACCTTGTCCTTTCCCACAGTGAAGTCCTTCTGTTGTCCAGTGATTATTACAGCATTTATGTGCTGAGAGCCCTTGTGCAGTGGCTTTTTGGACTAGGTCACTCTTGAGTCAGGTACTGACCAAAGTGAGGAGAAAACCCCTGCCCTCAGGTCAGTTACAATCCCATGGTCTCCCAGCTTCTGTATTCTGTTGGTCACTGGAAATTCTCCAACACTTCACTTCCAGACGTGTTAGGGCAAGACCCTGATAGCCTTATACTCATAATGGCACGATGTCCTAACTCACAGGTAGTTCTTGCCTCTGTCAGGCTGTTGATGCAGTAAGCTGCAGAATGAGATGGGACAGCCATGTCTCTCCTGACTTTTTTTCCTCTTTGCTGCTGCTTTTTAGTTAATAGTATAGTTTATTTAATAGCTAACCTCTTTTAGTTGCTTCTTGGGGACTTTAAGGAAAAAACCACCATATTTCTGACATGTATTTGCTTGGTCAGCATATTTCTGCAAACAAACAGCCAGGTCTGTCTTGAGAAAATACCATTTCTCAGTTGGCCAGCAGAGAGAGCAGTCAGCATTCAGTGGACAAGCCGGCTGGGACGCTTAGCCAGAGGCACTCTCCTGTACACTCACCCCTGCCAGAAGCTGTTACAGTTAAAAAAAAAATAATTCTGACAGCAGTGCAGAGGTGATCCATATCTTGCGAGGTTGTCACTAATGGGTTATGTATTGCCCTTGACTGCCTGACTCTCTTAATGTCAGTGCACGTCCTTCCTGCACATCAAGGACTATGTGTGAGCATCGTCAAAGCACCTACCAGTTTTTTGGGATCTGTTCAGTATTCACAATCCCTGCCGAAATGGGTATGTGGCACCTTAAGTTAACCGACTAATTGCTTTCCTATCAATCTGTGGATTTCAGGGGCTAAATTTAGTCACCCAGGACATTGCAATCTGATCTGCGCTATTAAATAAGCTGCAGGGAGGCACCAGGGTGCATTTATATGAATCAGATTCCAGGATGAGAGCCCAGGTCGGGACATTTTGACCAGCGTGGTCTCCTTTCCTCAACCCCTCATCATCCAGACAGAGCCTCATGCGTGCACTGAAGCACTGTTGCTCTCCCAACACTTACTGTAGAATGGCCATCTCTGGGGCCCACTTTTCTTCTGTTAGAATAACTTTGGTCCAAATTTTTCTGTTTTATGGTGCTGTAGTTTTTTCCCCCACCTTTTCAGCAAACATGGGTTGTGGGTTGAATGACCTGAGAAAGCTGTGGGGAATAGGTAGGAGGTGTGAAAACCCCACCATGTCCCTGCAGTAGCCACAGTTACCTCCTACCAGGTGCGTTGCAGAACCATTACTGAGACACAGTCCACGACCCAGGTGATGGCTGTCCCCTGCGACTAGCACAAGGCACACTGCCAGCGGGGAGGACCAGCAAAGCATCGCTTCACACATCACCTGGCAGAGCAGATGGCTCTGGTTTTGGTGGGGTTGCCCTCCTACGACACTTTGGATTCACAGGCTCAGAGAATCTCCTCTTCTCTTGAGGTGAAACCTGTCTGGACGTCTGTCTTCAGGTAATTACCCACTCAGAAATTTGAGGGAGGGAATACTGGTGATTTTCTTCCTCCTTCTGGCTTCCTCTTTATGCAGGAGTTGGCGCAGTTGAGGCCAGGGTTAATGAAGCATACCCACAGAGTGAGTGTCTGGAGGCATCTGCTCAGGTTTGCTCAGCAGCTGTGTGTAGCCTTCCCCGTGGAGCTCAGCTCTCAGTGAAGGTTTTCCTTTGTGATCATGGAGTCAGAAGCGAAGCACTCCATACAAATGCATCCTTTCAGCAACTTAAGTGCAGCTGCGGTAGTGGTTCTGGAAAATCTCTCCAGTTTGACCTAAAATAAACAAATATGGTTGCTTAAGTATCCTCAATGTTTCCTTATACTTACAGTAGGAAATACCTTGGATACTGAGGGCAGCTAAAACAAATCTTACTTAGTTATCTAATGCCTCTGGCAAGTCCCTGAGTTTCTGAGTGAGCTAAGCCACTTCCTAGGCATGAGGCATACCGAGCTTTGTTTTATAGCGATAAAAATAAGCATTCAAAGGACCTGAGCTGTGAGCTGTCACTCACAAAGTCCGAGTGAAGGAGCATTATTCACCTGAAGCTCATTTTGAGTGTCTGGTGCAGGTGCAGAGGGAGATGAGCAGGGTGTTTCTGACAAGCTGGATTCCTGACATTATATTACTTAAAAGCAGGAAATGCTCATTTGGCCTGGTTCAGTGTCATACTGGCCTTCCCATGCAAGGCTATATCTGGAACTCAAACACTACAATAAGGCAGGAATCATTATATGTTATTTTTTTTAAACAGCCTACACAGTTAGAAGATGGTAGTTATCTCGGCCTTCCCTTCTTTTCAGTATGCAATTGTGGCGGCGTGCTTCCCACCGTCTCAGCTCGGCTGCTGAAATGGCAGCGCACCAGCTCCATGCTTGGAGCCACCCCGACAAAATGTTCTGCTGCGGCTTTTAACCATTTAGTATTAAAGCTCCCTCTGCTTCCACCGTTTCTAACTGCTGAGGTGAGGCAAGGGTTTCCAGTCCTTGTTTATAGCCAGTGTAATCAGCTCGGCTATTTATACTGTACTCATCACAGAGCACTTTGCTGTATGAAATGGTCACAGTTATATTTATACCAATGCAAAAACAAAGTCATCACAAATCGAGGAGGCGACATTCAGAGTATTTTTTCCTTGCTACATCATGCTGTTTCTTCAGCAATTCAAACTTTTATCAGGCAAAGTCACACTCCTAGGAAGAAAATACAGCCCGCTGCAAGTCAGGAATCCCACCAGCATTTATCTGTGCGTGTGTTTTTGTCATGCTTGAAGTAAATGCAACTGTTTAGTCAAGTAGCTCCTACCAGCTGCTACCTCAGTACGAACACCCAGCACTGCCAGCAAAGTCCATAGAGTTGTCTTAGTACAGCTGAAAGCAGAGTTTGATCCGCTCTGCCAGAGGTACTAAAAATACCTTTTAATATGCTAAGGTATGTGTCTGGCCAAGAGTTGTTTTCAAATACATCATACCATGGAGTTGCTACAAAGTAAATGGAGCCCAAGCAGCTCGGTCCTGAGATTTAAAATAAGCAAGGGAGGGCTGCTGGGGTCCAGCCTCTCTCCGGGCTGGGGGGCACCCCCATGGTGCTCCCCCTGCCTTTATCCTAGCAGTAGGTTGGGAAGAAAGGACTTGGAGGGGATTTGCAGTGCCTTACCTGCCATGTTTGTCAGAAGTGTTTTACTGGGAAGATTGTTTCCTTAACCCTCGTTCTCATTTAACTTATTTGATAATTATTAAATAAATAAATAAATGAAAAACAAAGCAGGCTGAGTGTTTCTGAGATCTGAAGGGCCATGTGAGGGGCTTCGTTTCCAGCAGAGAAGACCCACACATGGTCCCAGCAGCTCCCGTCTGCCAGCCTCTCCAAACTCACACTGGGCACAGGGGCAAAGCCCCAGCCTCCTCCAAGCTGCTGCCAGAGGCTGTGGGAGCAGGGGCAAAGCAGTCGCCCTTCCCCACAGCTGCACAGCCTGAGTGAAAGAAACCTTTCTGCTGATGCTCTCTGTGGTCTCCCAGCTTTGAACCAGTGCGAAATCCACAGCTGTGGAATGGCTCAGCCCAGCCCTGGCCGCATGGGCACTGGTTTCCCAGCCCTGGCCAGGGACCATGGTGTCCCTGCTGCCGGCTCCCTGCAGGGGCAATGCAGGGGGTGGAGGCGGCAGGGCATTACCACCCCACTCAGGATGCTTGCTGGGTTTACAAAAATCCTCAGAAATGGGGATTATTTGTGCTCATTCCATAAGCAAATGCCCTGGCTTAGCAGGTGGAGTCCATGGCAAAAACCCACACGTGGAGCTTGGCCAGCGTTGAAGACATCTGAGGCCCGAGATGTGACAAAAGCACACATGTGGGGTCCAAAAGAGGCGATGCCATCTTCACTGTCACTTGGTCTCCTCTGAGAGGGCATTGTTATATCTTGCAGTAAGGTCCTCTGCCCTGCCTGCATAGTGCAGTAGAGCCCGCTCCCAATTAACGTTATACCTGCTTCTCACTGCTGCTGCTTCGTGCCATTTGGAGAATGAGCTATGGAGCTCCAGTGGTACAGCCATTAGCACGGCTGGATTAGCCAGTGGAAGCTTTGTTTCAAGCTTTCTGTAATAAAATACTGCTGTACTGCGGCACACTGGCTAGTTAGGGTTTCACTGCCAACTTAAGAAAATGAGGGCAAAGGGTGATTAAATATTAAGTACTATGCAAGATCCCAGCTGATGCAGTTCATCTGGTAACCTGAGGATGGGCTGGAGGTAAAAGTCGCTTCCTGAGATACCTGAGAGAGTACTATAGCAACCCATCCTGGCCAGCAAGAGGAGCTTTGGGGTTTCTTCATCAATCTTCAATGCCAGGAGACCTCAGGGGTAATGTGGGCTCATGAAGGGACCAAAATAAGGACCCTTGGAATATCCATATCCTTTTTGGATTTCCACCGCTTCTGTAAATAAAACACCATTTCTGGCTGTCTTAGACTGCCAAGCAGGCTATACTTACATCAGGCAGAATATATTCATGAAAAAAACAAAAGAGGTTCATGATTAACACAGAAACATTCCTTCCCCACCACATGATGATCCATGTCCTAAAGCCTCTCCTTCAAGCAAAGCTGCTGCTGACAAAATTATTGTCCATCCTTACACTACAGAGCAAGGCTTCTGAAAGACAGCTTTTATTAAGTGTGTGTCTGTATGTCTGCACGCACGTGTCTCTGTACCTCTCTGTGTGTATGTATATAGATGGCTGCTGTCACAGCAGCATGTTCTGCAGTGGATGTTGCTTCCCATGCTTGCTAAGCTCACCTCAGCATTAGCAATGAGAAGCGTTAAAGTACATCCTCACCGCTCCCGTTAGCAGCTGGCTGTTCCTGAGGAGGACCCACACCTTGGCTGCTGCTACCTGGCCAGGTGTAAGGGCTGAGAGGCCTCCTGCTCCGCTCCCTCCCTCGCTGGCACGAGCAAGTAAACCTGGAAAAATCATGGCCCTTTCTTTTCTGAGGCTCCTAAGCCAACACTCGACTGCAGTCCTAGTGATTTCACCTCCCATTGTCCCCCATATCCTATACCCCCTTGGAACCATTTAAAGATTTTTTTTATTTTTTTTTTTTTCTGATATAACCTGGGCCAAATCTTGGTTCCTTTAGGAAGACAAACTGGCAGGGGAAACACTGACAACTATACAGGCAAATACTGTATTGCTTGAAAAACTTTGTTTAGATTGCCCCATTGCAGGGAAGTTGTTTGTTGTTTTTTGTTTTGCTTTTCTTTTTTGGATGGCGTTAAAGACACCATAAAATTAGCTACAGTATTATTCCAGTGATTTGTACACTTCATATTCATGCGCCTTCCAAATTAAAAGCAGCCACGATAAAAATGAAGCAAAATAAACAGGTCCTGAGGAGGACCTAACCCCCTTTCCTCCATGCTCCCAGCAGCCACCAAATGCAGCGGGGTCCTGGGAGGGCAGGAGCGGCAGAGCCCGGGCTGAGCGGCGTGGAGGATCCTTGGGAAGGCTTTGTTGCTCTGCCAGGGGGATATTAATGTTTCTGGCCAGCTGACAGCGTGTGCGGTGAGCGTAAACATTTGGCTCCGGCAAAGAGTTGCAGATGAGGGAGGCGAGTTGTGCAGGAGATAAGCGGGGTCCTTGCGATACACGCACCCAGCTGGGCGAGGGCTGTCGCCGGGCCGGCGGGTGCGAGCGGGACCGGGCGTGAGGGCCCGCAGCACCCTCGGGGAGGAGTGGGCACAGGCGGGGGGACATGAGGCATCGGTGGGGGGACAGGGGTTTCGCAGCAGAGCAGGGCCCGGGCCCTGCAGCCTCCTTGGGGCTCCCGGCTGCTGGCTCATCCCGGGGCCCGGGCCAGGGTTGAGAAAGGCTTGAAAATACGCTGTTGGGGGCACATTAGGGGTCTGAGGAAAGCAACGTTGAAGGTGCTTGCAGCACTGCTTTTGATTGTGGCGTGTTTTGCATCCAAACAGCAGCCATTTTGCAGGAGGTGGGGGGCGGGTAAGTGGGTAAAGAGCATCCAGGCCTCCGCTTTCCATCTCTTTCCAAGCAGACGAGCTGACTGCGCTAGTTCAGGCTTAATTCATGCTCTGGTGTCATCGCAACAGTCTTTTAAAAATCGGGTCTTACCCTTTATGTCAGGAGACAGAGCAGGACTGCTGTGCTGCCGCCTGGGGTCAGCAAGCCTTACTTTCCTGAAGGGCCATGTGGGGGAATTTTGCATTTTTGCAGCCTTTAATTCAAATAAAGAATAAATAACTTTGTAAATATTAAAAAAAAAAAAAAAAACAAAACCAAAAAACTTAGGCAGCCTGAGGAGGAGGGGTTACACCCAGGGGTGTTACAAACCCGCGGTGCCTGGCTCCGGGTGCCAGAGGATGAGTGGCACACGGTGGCACCTCTCCTGCAGCTACCACACGTGCGGGTGTGTGTTTATGTGTGTGAAACCAGCTAACTTAGCAGTTTTTTTCTTCTGAATGTTCAACATAAGCAGGGAATAATAAAATGCAACTTTCCCGCAGGGACCAGAGAAAACAAATTACTGCCTGGGTATAGCAGAGGGCAGAGTCTGGCTCATTACTTTCTGTGAAATAATTCCCACGAGGCCTTGTGGAAACCCAGCAGTTTTGTTTTTTCCCTTCTTATTTTTCTACTTCCTTAAACTTTCCAAAATACTCTGCTGTAACATATTTTCCCTGATCACATGTGTTAGTGAGGAGAGAAAAGGTTAAATTCTCCTTTCATACTATAATGTAGTTCATTTCCTGTTTTTCACAACTGTCTAGACACAGATCTAACGAGCATTAACCCTGAATCCCACCATTGGGTTAAAAATAGAGGCTTTAAATATAAAAGTGTGTGGTAAGAGAAAGATTGTAGGTTTCTACCTACCACCAGGAGCCAGCTCTTTTAAAGGAGAACCATTTAATTGTCTATAAGCAACGAAAAAAAAACACAAATAAAATTACTTCAGTTTCAGAGGTTTAAAAAGGCTCCTGGTTGCTTTATATACACCACCAGCAACACAGGCGCTGCTGAGCTGTGGCACGGACAGGTTGGTCCCCTTTCAGGAGTTATATTTGTCTGGATTTACACCTCCAGCTATATCCAAAAAAGAAAGGATAAATTCCACTTCAGTGGAAGAGCTATAAAAAGACTGGGAGAAAGTCATTTAGGAGCTAACCCATGTTGAAAACTGTGGTCAGGTTCTGGTGGGAGACCCACAGACAAAATGTCCCCCAGGCACAGCTGAGGAGTTTGCCCCAAACGCCAAGGGGAAAAGCGATCCCTGTGGTACCAGGAGGCACCTCTTGTTGGGAAGGCAAGGCCACAGTGCATTGGGTCCCAACCTACCAAACCATTTAAACATGTTCAGTCATGACCAGACCCAATGGGACTCTCATCAGCTTAAGCTGGATCATGGTTGGGCTGGACCTTGGCCCTAGGTTAAGCCTGGCAATTGCCCCACGGGTGCGTCCCCTCCTCTGACACACTCACCGTAGGCTGGGCTGCCCCACCAGAGCAGGGAGAAGGAGAGAAAGAGATTTTTGGCCTGTAACATGAGCTAAACCCTTCGCAAAAACGCAAGGTTTGCTTGTGGAGGAAAAGAAAGGGGAAAACAAAACTGCAGCCCACCCCAGCCCAGCACTGGGCGCAGGCAGGGACTGAGGCAGCTTCTAGGCCATCGCTGACAGTTTGTCACACACCGGTGCCTGTCAAAACTTACCCACAGAGGCATCATTGTTTATGTACTTCACAAATAAAAATATATGCCTGTAAGAATAAGCTTAACTCAATGCTCAAAAGCACCGTTAAAGTCCAGATTCATGGTGTGCTGCGAAGACGAGGAACTTGCATTTCCTGCACTGACTGTGTTTCACTACCTGTACATGCAAACCCCGCAGGGCTTTTTGTTTTTTTATCCTGTGAAGCTGGGAGTGGGTGCCTTTCCTGTCCCACCACCCACTTTCAACCGTTGCATGAAAGCATTAGCACCCCCGGGGGGGGACCAGGCTGGACCTGCCACCTCAGCTGCAAAACCTGTGGGTGCTGCCTCCTTCGTTCAAGGCCTATTCTGACTGGGACCAAAAAAACAATCCAAGGAAAACATATTAAAAAGGCATTAGTTTGTTTGTTTTCTACTAAAAAGCACAGTACACTATGCATCAAGAATGGCAAGGGGTGAACTCGTGTCTTTCCAGCTTAGGGAATGCCTTTGAACCTACATGAGTTATTTATAGAGCCTTTTAGAAAACAGTGCTC